TTTTTTTTTTTTTCAATTGTCATCTGGAGACCGAAGCCTGTAAGAAGCCTCTGCACGAGCCTCGTCTAGCTTACCCATAAGCTCCATCACGAACGGAGTTTTTGTTCCGTGAGTGAATCTCAGTACATCTAAAGCTTTCGTAAAAGATCTAACTGCATTTTCAGTCTCCCCCAACAACCTGTAAAAATTAAAATTAATACCATATTAAATTCTGCTACTTTCTCCTCTAAGCAAAACCAAATAAATTTGCAGGATGTGCATTTAGAAATTTGAAAATACCCATTTCAAATGAGAATAGTAAACGAAAGCATATTAGGAAGAAAATGAGAAATTTAGTCTTGAATTCCTAAATCACCAATTTTTTTTGGGTGAAAAATTTTTTGAACATAAAATGTCGATTTAATTTGGGACAGGGAGTAATATAATTCTCATACCATTCGAGCTTTCCAGACATATAATACTGCAGCCCGATCAACGGATGGCAGCTCGGGTACACCCCTGTATGAAAGATGATGTACAAAAGATGAGCAAGAAAGAAGATAAACAAAAAGTAATGATTTAAGTGATAGGAACTAAAGATTTTCTTTTGTTATACATACACTCATAAACCAGGATTATCAATCTGGAATAAGAAAGTGCTTCTTTCCAATCCTGCAGCTCCATCAATATCTAAAATGAACAGTCAAACACAGAAACTGAGAAATTGCATGCTCAAGAATACTTCAGATAATAACTTGAGGTTTAATTGAAGTGTATCTGATTTAAAATCTATATTAAAAAGGGGACTTAGCATGTGTTGAAAATAAAAAGGATGGAAAAAAAAGTAAAATTGGACCATATTTATCATAGAGAATGGAAAATTCAATGTACGGTTCATAATTATTGAAAATTTTAGATTCAGAAGGTGATGCATGTCAAAAAGGTATCACAAAGGTGAATTTTAATATACTCAAAAGCATATACCTTTAGAAGAGACTCTCTTGTCCGCAAAATATTGATCGAAAATGGGTGGCACAGCTTCTGTTGAAGCTGCTCGATCATCTTATAAGCCTCAGCTTTATCTGAACTTTTTTTTCAAGGAGTAACTTTTCGTCACACGTGTATCATAACCACATTTAGATAAATCTGTTTTAAAAAAATGAATTATTCTATAAAGAATAGATTAAAAAAAGGATACAGCCAGAGGAAAGTGACTGAGATGCTCTTTCCGAAATACGTTTCACTTCATTAGTGATGTTACTAATTTCTTCTTTGCTCCTCAGAAGTCCACATTGTTGGCATATGAACCCTTTATCATCTAACATCAAGTAAGAAAGAGAAAAATGTAAATTTGAACAAAATCTAATCATCAATATTATCAATATAATTAAATAATACCAATTAATCATCCTTACACATCACATCAACTTTAATTCACTATTCATTCTTTCGAATAATTTTAACTACCCATCACATCTCATAATTTCTCTCCTACTTTTACGTCAAATCAACTTTAGTTATTTTAAATATTATTTTAATAATCCCACTAAAAACAAACCAAATAAACTTTTTCAAAATTAACCATGGTTAACAAAAAAACACAGTAATAAAACTAGTTTATTTGTATACAAACAAGCCCTTAACTAAAGGTTCCAGTTTTCTCGATTAACAAATGAAGTACCAGGGTCACGAAGTAGAAATCCACTACATTTATCAGCTTTGCATCTATAACCTTCTAGAATCGCACTTTCTCGAATGTCATCAGGTTGTCCCTTCAAACACAACACTTACAAAGTTCAGAAAANACTCTATGCACGAGAAGCCAATAATTACGGAAAGATTGTAAGAGGGGTACCGATTTTATGCAGCGATCACAAGCGCAAGTAAAAAAATATTGTTCTTTAAGAGCTTTTCTCCGAGTAATGGTGCTTCCAGCTGTTTCTATATAACTGATCGTTACCTTCAGAGACAATGATATAATATTTTCGTCAGCATTCCTCCTCATTAGGTGCTTTTTAAGAAAAAATTAAAATATGATCACATGTTGAGGGATCTCTGTCATTTTGAGAGAGAACTGATTTTTTTTGTCATATTCAGAATTATCCCTTTTCATGATATGACAAAAAAAAATATTAGAGGTAATAATAATTAGTTAATTACCTCTGTACCTTTTGGTATATGCTGCATGGCCCGTACGACAGCTACTCTTCCTTCGAATACAAGAACAGCATTGGGTAAACAGCTGAATGAAGTACACATGTTAGATAAACAAATAAATATACAAGGCAGATTAATTAAATATGTTCGATAATTTACCTGTGATTTATGATAGCAATTACGGGGAAAAGTCCTGTTCCGAGGGGTCTCAGTTCACTGTCACAAATAGTATGGGCATTGCATGCTAGCTGTGTGTTGAGACAAAGGAGAAGTCAGATCATGGTTTTAACCTTTTTTTTAAAAAATAAATAAATAAATAAAATGGGGATGCATTGATAAAGTTTCAATATTTGAACCTTATTCAGCAATAATACCTTAGAAAAATTTTCAGCAATCTGTTTGATATTAATATCTGAATCGGACCACTGGAGTATCAAGTTGACAAGGTTAGCCATCTGGGCATACAATATCAGCTGGTTCTCATCGACTTCAGATATGTCTATTCGGTTTTGTTAAGAATGAAGAATCACATATGAAAATCATATTATATATATATACAAACAGTAAAAGGTTTAGAGTAAACAATACAATGGATTAGGATACGAGAAACCAAGGCTTCCACAAGCTTGTAATTTTCTGTGGCAGTATTCGGTAAAATCTAGCGGCAATAAAATCATTAAGGCAGATTTTAACTAGCCACACGATTTAAGCAAGAATAGAAAGTTGAAAATGTTAGGTATAAAAGTACCATTGAAGGCCAATTTGCATAAAAAATAAATAAAACTGCAGAAAACTCAAGTATCGTTATGATAATACAAAATATCCCTTTGAATTTATGTTAAAACTTACACCCTCAACATGTGCTAAGATAGTTGAAGCAGAGGCTGTGTTTGAAATACCATGTAATTGTTTGTTTGTTTTTTTTTTATCTTTTTTTCCCTTCCTTACTTCTTTCTGTTATAAGGTCAAATGTGAAAGGTAAATTCATATTCATCCCTAAATTTATCTGAGCAAAGATTAAGTGGAAGATTAGTATAATGGATAAAAATGCAGAAGATAATGGAGTAACAATATAGGATCCTGAAAGCTAATATTAAATTTATTATAGCAGAACTTGTACATTAATGATGGAATCAAACTTCATGCTCTGCTACCCAATTGCTTCTAAATTCCATATATTTCCATTAAACTCATTAATTCCATACTTTTTTTTTTATTTTTCCTTTTCACAAGCGATATCGTTATATTGCTTTCTACTTCTCTAGAATCTGAATATATCACTTTAACTCAAGACAATATTTATGAATATTACTTTTCACTAGTGCCAGAATCCCGAATCACCTAACTCACCTTCTGATTCTCTAGCTTAAGCCTTATACAAAGCCTCACCATCAAACGAATGGATGGTGTGAGTGATTTCAACCTTTCCTTGTCAACTTTCTTCAATGCCGAGCATTCCACACTATGCATCTTCCAATCTAACTTCTGAAAAATCGATCACAAAACTGCCGCAACTTACTCAAATACACAGACAATGAAACCATATAATTACATCACAAGACTTAAAAACACCAAGATAACCACTTTTCTTTCCATTTAAATTACAGAACTGATGTAATTATCAGTTTTCAGCTTCTACAACTTATGCAACAAGTGTACTAAATTTAGTTACAAAACTTAAAAACATCAAGATAACACTTTTTTCCATTTAAATTACAAAACTGAAGTAATTATCAGTTTTCAGAATCTACACTTATGCAGCAAGTATGCTAAATTAATATCACAGCAGTTAGTTTTTCTTCTTTACTAACGCACCTATATTTTTTTTCCTTTTCTTTTAGCTTCTGCAAACTACAATATGTAACGAATGATTAATCTCTTGTGGTATAATTTTTACCTGACATTTGCTGCTACAATACCAAACGACGTGACAAGCTGAGCATTTCTTGAGGTCGGCAGATGAAAAGCACCACTCGCACTTGGGTTCAGGCGACTCTTTGTTCTTATTGGGAACACAAACATATGGGCTATCGCTTAAAATCACCTCACCTGCAAAAACAAACACAGCCCAGTCTTTGAAGTCTTTTGATTTTTCTTTAAAAAAAACAATCTTTAAAGATGAAATCTTGAAAAGCAACGAAGAAAAATGTTCTTCAAAAACCTGGGGAAAAATCTCGGGCGGTGAGAAGGCAGCGTCCCTTTTCGGGAAGCGTCGAGATAGTTAAGCTCTTATCAGTCAATGCGTTCTGTAACTCCTCCATTTTTAGAACGATATACGCGAATAAGCTACTGTTTTGTCCAGCCGCAAAAAATAGAGGCGAACACACAACACAAGTGTTCAATAGAAGAGGATACATTAATCACAATTTGGTCCCTGCATTTCCGCAATAATCTCCTATCTTTTTTAAATTTCATTTTGATTTTATCAACAATTAATCAAATAAATAACGTTTTAGATTTCGTATATATTTTTCCATCAATAATTTTCCATTCGTACATATTTATCTTTTCTCAAAACATTCATCTCTATCCTCATTAATTAATTATTATTGAAAAAAAATAAAAATTATTACTGTGCAACTTTTCAAAACACACTTATTAAAAATAAATGAAGTATTATTTTTATTTTATTTTTTAACCGGACTTTATCTAATTATAATTATTGAAAGATCGATTCAATCTTTGGCTATACTTTTTATAGCTTAATTAATAATTGATTTTATTAGCGGATAGTTGAAACTGAATAGTACAAACTAATTTGAGTAGAGAATTTTATTAACAATTGTAAATGAGCGTCGGTTTGTATAGTTGTGCTATAAATCTTATGTGAAATGTTATTTTTCAATAATCTTTATTCAAACAGCTGCACTAATATGCATTTTCAAAGAAATAACAGATTGTGTAGAAAACATAACTAAATAAGTTTTTTATCAAATAAGGTTCAGTCCATTAATTTAAACATTAATCTACTAACTCCAAATAAGCCAATATGTTTTAATTAGCAAATACAAATTATTGTTTGAGATGTCTTAGTATTAGGCGGGTCGCTTCATCATATTATCTTAACAAAATTGTATATTTATATTATAAAATATTATATTTTTATTTATATTATTTTTAAAGTATGATATTTTAATTTAAATGTATGTAAATCTTTTGAAAAAGAATGATCGCATTAGTAAATTAATAGTCTTTAGACATTATTCTAATAAGTAATTGAAATGTTTCTTTAATGTGTTGAGTTCAAAAGAATGACGTTGTTTTAGTATCTATCATTATATAAAAAGAATAATTTTTTTACAAATTTAGAAATATTTTCCCACCAAATTCATTAAATATATCTTACATATAGTAATTGTTGGACAAATCTGAATAGGCAAAAAAATCGGCGCATTAATTGTGTAAGGATTTGTTTCTCTTTTTCCTGTTTTTTAGTTTATCAAAATCATTGTTTGACCGTAAATATTTGTTTTTCTTTTTCTTATTTTTAGTATAAATCTACACGAGTTTCTCTATTCTGTTACAAAATCCCATTGCATATGTCTGACGGTGTTTAAAAAATCTCATCCCTTATCTATACAGATTTGAAAAAATAAAATAAAATATAAACCAATTCATAATTACTACTAGAAATCCATTATCTTTAAAAAGAAAAAAATAAAATAAAATAGAAACCAATTCATAATTACTACTAAAAATCCTTTATCCATTATCTACTTGAAGAAGCTAATTTTCATTGGTGTAATTACTAATATTTTTACAAATATTATAAGCTAACCATACAAAAAAGTATAATAATAATTTTGAGATGGTGTGTAATCAATATTTTTTATATTCTCTTATACAAAATAATTTTACATTGTTTGACCCCGAATCTTTAATTTATAATTATTAAGTATTGTTTATCCTTCTCTTTAATTTGTAATTATTTTTTTTCTTCCTCTTTTTAAATAGGATCAATAGTAGTTTCCACTTCCGTGACTCAAACTCGAAGTCTATTTATAATATTGTTAATTTAAGATTGTTCTCGTGCATCACACTATCACACGAGATACAGACTAGTAACAATAAAATGGAGTGGCTAAAGTGCAATTTTTTCAACTTTACCCTCTCACTTTGTTTTCCAACTTTACCCTCTCACACAGCTGCAAATGTTTATACCTGAGAGCTGCAAATTGTTTTCTCCGCCATTTTTGCACACTCCCATGTTATACCTAAGCAGCTTCCCTCGATTTCTCTCTCTAAAGCGTGTCCTCCCCTTTATCTCTCTTAAAAAACTGAGCTTTACCCCTAACAAATTGTATCTCTCAGCGAGTAAACTTCAAAAAGTTTGAATCTTTTATAGGATTTTGTTTGAAGTTCTGTACATGTGATACGCGGACTGCTGATTTATGTACTGTTTTGCTGCAGAAATGGAGCCACAATCGTCCACGACGCTCGTTCTATGCGGGAAATCGGCAATAGAAGATGATATCGCCCGGCGTTTGAAGAAAAACGCCGCGATTAAGCTCCCCGATGATTCTCCGGTGACGGTTGTTTTGCTGTCCGAGATCGACAATCGAGGCGGCGTTTGCAACGACGACGTTTTCCGCGTGGGTTCGTACATGAATTCGCTCTCGACTTCGAATTTCGGAAAGCTGCTCGTTTACTCTCCCAAATTATCTTCGACGCATGATGTTGTGTCCCAGTAAGTAAGCCGGCCTTTTCGTATACTTTCTTTTGTTATTTCCTTTGCCCATTTTTACTAGTATCTGTTTGGTTCTGAGTTTGTGTGGATAACCTTAATGCGAACATTTCCCGAGCAGTAATTTTGCTGAGCTGCCGACTGGTTCTGTGTGTGTTGCCGACGTGCAGCTAAAAGGCAGAGGTATTAGTCTGTCCTGATGATGGGTGTTGTGATTTTGGACTTATTTTTTAGTATTTTTATGTAAGTTGTTTGCTTTTTTTCAAAGGTCGATCGAAGAATGTATGGGAATCACCAAAAGGGTGCCTTCTGTTTTCATTTACCATACAGATGGAGGATGGCCGCATTGTGCCACTTGTGCAGTATGTTGTTAGCTTGGCTATGACAGAGGCAGTTAAAGATGTTTGCCGAAGAAATGTGAGTGCCTTTTGATCAAATTGTTGTTCGTTCACGGTTAGTTACAACATTTTATAAGAAAATGTAGTGATTGTTTTGCTTAGCATTAAAATATGTTTGATTGCTAATGCTGCTATGGTATGATAACGAAAAGTTCTTGCCCTGGCTTAAGATGGGATCTTTAGTCATTGTTTGTTTATATAGGTATATCTATTTCTAATTGCCTTTTGGAAGTGGTAATGCTTGCTTCACTTTGGAAATGGTAATGCTTGCTTCACGAATGGAAATTCGAGAACAGCCGATAATTTATTAGACCCGAAATTAAATAATCTTAGACGTTTGTATCCATGTTGTAGCTTATTACAGTTGTGGAGGTAGACATTTTTTATTAATTTGTGCTGCTTCGTGCTCTGTTATTGAAAACTGGTTGAATTGTCACCCTCAAATACAGTGTTTGCTTGAAAAACAAGTTTTATTGGCAGGTGTTCGTGCATGAAATTCATTTATTTTTATGAGGGATGAGAATAATATTGATAATTTTGTCATCTAACGTACAACAATTGTTAAAATGAGCAAAGTTGCTCTCATGAATAAATTCTGTTTACTAGAGTGGCAAAGGTGGAATTTAAGATGATGTATATTAGCCATTTGATTGATTGTCAAGTTAAAGAATCACAACATATACTAGTTGGAGTTGTCTTTTGGTTTGTGAAACGAAGAAGTGGAAACTAAGAGCTATATATGTAAATAGATTATTTTTATTTGTTTATTTGAGCAGAGCATGTGGTTAAATTGGATAGTGCAGTTGTATTCACGTTATCTACGGATATATAATCTTCTATTTTTCAATATCTGTGTTCTGATACCAAAATTTTTCAGGGCCTGCCTTCTCTTGATGTAAGAATAAAGTGGCCAAATGATCTGTATTTAGATGGTCTTAAAGTGGGAGGCATTTTGTGCACATCAACGTATAAGTCTAAGAAGTTTAATGTCAGTGCTGGTAATTAGTTACTCATATCTTTTGATTATTCAAAATCACTGCAAATGTTTTCCCTTTGCCACTGTAGATATTGTGCATTATGTCTGGATTAGTCAGTCACCTGCATGATCAATTTATCATTTATCACATTTTGTCAAAACCAGAAGAGTTAATATTTCGATTTTTTTTTTTTTTTTTTTTTTCNTTTATTATGGTTTTTAAGGAATTGGCCTCAATGTCAATAATCAACAACCAACAATATGTCTGAATTCTGTTCTAAGAAAGATGGGACATGTAAATGTTGCTCCTCAACTGCAGCGAGAAGATATTATTGCGGCTTTCTTCAATAAATTCGAGAGTTATTACGACATTTTCATTAGTCAAGGTGATCAAATTTCCATAACAGTTTTAATCTTGTTAGTTTGTATTTTCACTGAAGTTGATGTTACATATTTGCTTCCACGTTCAGACTTTCATTTGTTTTTTTCAATTATAACATTTTAAACATATTTCTCCTTCTTTAGACACTCAAAAACGTTATTTCGGTTGTTCTAAGTAGGAACTATGTGCAATTGCTAGTTACCTGTCCATAATTTACTCTTCAAATGTATGTTTAGGTTTCCAAGCACTGGAAGAGCTGTACTACAAGACATGGCTTCACAGGTTAAGACTAATTAAGTCTCATTGAGAAATTTCATATTTGAGCAATTACACTTAAAGAATAGTTATAGTTACCTGCTATGAAGCTACTTTTTTTTTTGTGCTTCTCATTTACATCTTGCATGCAGTGGACAACAAGTTATTGTACAGGAAAAGAATGAAGATGACAAGCAAATATCAGAAAATGTGGTCACAATCCAGGTGAATTAATGATTATATGGATTTTTTTTTCTTGTGTTTTTTCTTTTTTGTTGCCAATCTGTGTTGTCCAGATAATCTGCATATACTTTTGAAGATACGATAAATATATGTTCAGATTCAGTTGATAGCAGTTTGCTTGTAGGACTCTTGAAGATCCTTTCAGATTGATTTCCCATAAACTACTATTGAATAGCAAACAGTATGTAATGGAATGCTTCTCAAGTTTAAACTTATTTTATTTTATATGCGAGTAAAGCTTGGGATTACAATATGTAAAGCATGTTTGTCAAATTTGAATTAATCTTATGGTTTACGAATCATGGAGGTTTTTGGTAAATCAAAAGCTGTTAAGTGACTCTGAAGATGCAACTCTTGTGTTTGTAATCACAATTGATATATGCTGAAAAAGACATGTTTTTTCGTACTCAGGGTTTAACAGAATCTGGATATTTACTGGCTGTCACTGAAAGTGGTCAGATATGTGAACTTCATCCAGATGGAAACAGGTAAATTTATTATCAATTTCACTTAATCACTAGCAAGGAAATGACATGTTGATTGTTGCACATGCTAATTACTAATTCTTTTTCTCGAAACATATAGGGTGATTGTTTATCATCTCATCTAAAAAAAAACCAATCAAAACTCAAATTTAACTCCACTTGAATCCAACTACACTATCTCCAATATTATCAATATAATTAAATAATATCAACCAATCATTCTTACACATCACATCAACTTTAACTCCCTATTCATTCACTTACATAATTTTAACTAACCATCACTTCCAATCATTTTTCTCATACTTTTACATCATTTCAACTTTAATTATTTTATTTTAAATGCTATTTTAATATATCCACTAACAACTAACCATATCACTTTTCAAAATTAACTATAGTTAAAAAAAACAATTAAAATCCAGTTGAATTTATAAACAATCACCCCTATAGTTATTTATTTGCTACTAGTGGTGAAATTGCAAATATTGGTTCTTCGGTTAATTTCGACAAGGGAAATTGCACAAATTCATTGTTTATAGATAATTATAAAAAAATCCAAACTTGGCTTGGAAACTCCAGTCTGAAATTACTGACAGTTTCACTTGAAAAACTGGAAACTCCTCAGATCTATTAAATAATTTGTATATTGTAGTTAATCGGGGTACGATATACTGTCTACGAGGCAACCATCTTTTGACTGAATGAAGATTAAATTCCCCTTTTTTCCCCATTTATACGGATTTTTGCTGTTTGTTGCACTCAAGCATGTGAGCTTTGTGAGCATAGTTTACTGATTTTATCCTTCCTGCCTTTGCTTTAGAATTCGTACTTTTGGCAGCTATTCGCACAGTTGCATAGTTGTCTTGATGCAAAAAAAAATAGGCATATAATTTTCAGATCTGAATCTTGAAATCTTGATGGATGCTTTTTCGTATCGTGGCTGCATGCACGACCATTAATTTTCTCAATGTACCGCATGAATTCATATTTTCCTTGAACGGTCACAAAATCTTAATTTGCTGCTCAAGAATCTTGACTTTTCAATCAGGGCAAGAAAAGAAAAAAAACCCTGTCTTTACATTTTACTTGCTTAAGAAACACTTGCCTACACATTTGCTCCCGATAATTATTATTTGGTTTACACACATAAAAAGCTTCATTTTCAGGAGCAAATGTTCCTAAAAAAATCTTCATTTTTTACTTACTATTTCACTAAGTAAACTACTCAGTCCTTACATTTACTCCTCAAAAATCTTGATTTTTCACAAAGCTTAATTTGCTACTCAAGAATCTTGATTTTTCAATCAGACCAAAAAAAAAATACTCGGTCTTTACATTTTACTTGCTTAAGAAACACTTGCTCACACATTTTCTCCTGAAAATGTTTATTTGGTTACACAAATAAAAAACTTCATTTTCAGGAGCAAATGTTCCGCAAAAAACGCCTTTTTAACCACACAAAAGCTCAATAAACAAAATTCCAAAAAATCACAAGTCCCCAATCCAAATGAATTGCCAAAACACGGCATTTTACCACACGAAAACACCGATTTTTTCAAAATAGAGGACGAAAGTGGTTCCCACTGGGAGTTCTTTATAATTTGAGAACGTGTTACCGACTAGCAAAAAGGCCCCCCATTCTCCTTTCCTGATGATAATTATTCCATAGCCTTAAATTTGTATATGCCATTTATGTCAAATATGTGTTGTCATTCAAATGTTGTATCCATTTATGCTCATTCTCTAAAGTTTTTTTTTTTTTTCTGTAGATTTTTTTACATCTGCTCACTTTTTTTTTTCTTTTTTTCCACCATCATGTGGCTACAGTTTCGACTTCTTTAAAGGACTGGTGAGAAGAAAATTAGCATGAAGCAGCTTTTGACCCCACAGTTTGTTCCTTTTCATTTGAGCTTCTCTATCTTCTTCTTGTGTCATTTACTCATTTAACTGTTGTGCAAATATAAGTTAGGCTTGGTTCAGAAATTTCCAACATTAGTACAGGTGACTCTAGTATCTTTTTATTTTATTTTTTACATTTTTTATTTTTGTGAGAAAATGTGACTACATGTTTTATCAATGTGGGACTAACAGAACTTTCACAAGAGCCAGGTGGTCAGGTGGGGTGGGGTTTTGCAGGGAGTAAATGGTCCCAAACAGTTTGTCTTTTTTGAGTTGAACAGGAAATTTATTGGATTGGTTTTGAATTTTGATGCCTTTGTGAGAAATTCAATAATTGCTGCCAGATAAATTGAAAAGTTATATGTCACTCTTGTTTTATTATGATTATTATTATTATTATTGAAATTTTTTGTGTTTATATAAACTTAATTATCATATACCTGTAAGCCATTGTGTGGTCTCTGAGTTTAGCATAGATTGACAAAATCCAGTGCTTTTGTATGGTCCCTTTCTAGTGGGGTTTTTTTAAGACTTATTAAGTTGTTCTTTTTAGTTTTTATTTATGTACTCTTTTATCAAGTTGTGGTTGATCTGCTCTTTTAAAAAAATATATATAAATAACAAAAAATGGAAACTTTCATTTTCAATTTCTGTTTGTTTTCATATTTAGTTGGTTCAGACTTCAGACATGTGTTTGTTAGTTTTCAACCTTATATATCATTTTTTTAGACTCATTTTCAACTCGTAGCATGCTCAATGTGGTCTATACCCTCTGTAAATTTTGTATTTTGAAAAATATTTGAAAAATAATATTTATGTAATGCATAAATTGTAAATTTATAAAAAAATTGGACATGTCAGACCTACAGTTGGAACTCACTAATTCTGTACACATATAATTAATGTAGCATTTCCTACTATATTTAGCTTCTGATTTCAAATTTCCTGGTTTGGTGAAATTTTTCCACTACCAATTTCATTAAAAAAATAATTGGTTTGTCATGTTCTTATCACTTAGATACCTTGTATTTCATGTGCTGTATATTTTTTTTATCTAAATTGTACACCACACACATTTACAAATATAAAATAATAATAATAATAATAAAATCTTATTATCCATGAAGAAATTCAAATGAATATACATGTTTCAAAATTTCAGCACCTTAATTTTCCATCCAAAATGTTATATAATTGAACGTGACACTGCTAAATAAAATAAGTTTGGTGTTTTAGCCACTATGCATTGTGACAAACAAATTTTGCCCAATAAGTTGCAGAAATTAACAACAAACTAATAATAAATAAATAAATTTGTCATGATTTTTTACATATATATTTGTGATTATTTCCAATAATGCATTTTTGTAAGCGGTAATGTAGGCAACCATAATTTTTCAACAAATATTAATATTTTCATGTTAAAACTTTGTACTTTGAAAAATAACACTAACAAAAATATATCATTTTTTTTAATAAAATACCTAAATTCATTCAACAAAAGTCATGAACTTAGTACAAAAATGTACTATTTAATGGCATAAGTTTACATTTTGACTAAATAAAAAAATATGACTTCGCTTAATGATTAAATGGACTTCCACAAGAATTTGTGTTCTATAAATATTACGGCAAAAACTATCATTTTGATTTTATAGCAAACTAGTACAATACTCGTGTATTACACGGGTGCTTGTAAAAAAAATTATACTTAAATTTAAAAAGTAATAAAAAAGTCTATTTTAAATTTGAAATGCTTTTTGAAAAAATATATTATAATTATTTATATTTAAAATGACACCATCATATATACGACTTACTCATCTTATGTTATAAATTTTCTTTTAACATATATCATATAACAAATTCGTAGTTAAATTTATTTAATTGCTACGTAATTTTATTGTTTCAATTAAAATTAATATATAATTTAATTTTTATTTGTAAATATAAAATATAATTATTTACTTATTTTATCACACAATATAGATGTCAAATCAAAGCTAATAAAAATATGATTAATTTGATATATTATATATGAAAAATTGATGGTAAATATAAAAGTTAACTTCTAAAATATATTTACAATCTAGTTAGTAAAGTATATTATAATTAAAAAAAAAAACAAAGAAAGAAAAAGAAGGATTGAGGAAACAAATTTCCATGCCTTATATTTGAATAAAAAAACAAACACGCCTTATTACAATTACGCAACTTTACGTGAATCTACTCTTTAATTATTCAAAATTTATGTAACTAAGTAATAATTAAAAAGAAAAACTCTGAAAAGTCCTCGCATGCCGAGCCATTTACGCTCCGAATTATGTAAAACAGAATATCTTGAACATTGGATATAATCAATTAGGTAGACCATAAGCTCCTTATTTTTCCTAAATATAATGTTAAATTGTTATTTATCTTTATTTTGAATTTTCTTATTGCCTTTTGGATTAGTGATCAGTCATGTCAAATATCTTAATTAATTAAAATAAGTATAATATAATGCAAAAGCGTGGTCACGGCAAGGGTAAACAAAAAGCAAGAGTTATTTTTTCACCCAGAAATTTGTCATATGATGATGACCAATTCTAAAAAACCAAAGCATGTGATAATATTTTCTTTTATCTATTTTAATTTTTAACTGATTACTGGTCAACCAATGGACCATTTTTTTCAGATTTTCTGGTGATTTGAACAGTACAAAGTACAAATTGTAAAATTTATTTATTTATTTTAAAGAGAGAGAAAAAAAAAAGTACAGTTTTTGTGTTGGTCGGGATTTTTTACAATGGTGTTTGGGTCTCCCCAAATTATCGGTGATGACTTAGGCCATCTCCAGCCCTTATCTCTACTCTAGCGCGGACTTTACTCTACTCTAGAGTAGAGTTGAACATTCATCTCCAACCCTTATCTCTACATTTTACTCTACATTAAATATATTATTTTTTATTCATTTTTTATTTCAAATAAATTAGTATATATGTATATTTAATCTTATATAAAATGTTAATTACTCAAATAATAAAAATATATTTTATTTATTTTTATTTCGAATAATTTGCTATATATATGAATATGTAATATTATATAAATGTTTATTACCCAAATAGTAATAAAAATTAGTGAAAATTTACACATTAGACCGTATATGGTTTAGAGCATATATTCACATTTTAAAAATGATTGTAATAAATTGAATTTCTTAAAGAAGATACATATACATCTATGTACCGATTGAATCAAAACTGTTACTTTTGAAAATATATGAATTAGTGCAAATTTACACACTAGACCATATATGGTTTAGACCATATATGTGGATAAGGAAATCTACAACTTAATTTTAATGAAATAAACTTGTTTGAGTGTGTTAAATATTTATTCATATAGTATCTTTAATATTAAAAAATTGCTAAATAAAATTATAATACATCAATAAATAAAAAGCACAAAATTATTTAGCATAAAAAATACATTACACAATATTTAACATAAAAAATACATTTATTAATACACATTATACAAAAAATTATCATTAATATTACATAAAAAAAAAAGAAAAAAATTATATTATGTTTTTATTCATTTTTATTTGTGTATTTTATGATTTTTTATGTTGTTTTTATCTATGTATTTTATGATTTACGTTTGTTGTAAACTTTTGATTTTAATGAAATCTCTTGTTTGAATGTGTTAAATTTTTATTCGTACCATTTTAATATTAAAAAATTATAAAATAAAATTATAATACATCATTAAATAAAAAGTATAAAATTGTTACTATATGTTTAACAAAATACAATAGTATACAACTATACAACAATATATATATCATGATTATTTTATTTACAAAATTATATTCCACAAATATTCTTATAATGTTTGCAAAGAACATACAAACAATATATATAGATATCAATATTAGTTTGTTTAATATAATATATTTAATAGTATTTTATAATGTTGGAAATTAGGACAATGTTATTATATATATGTTTTTATATGATTTCAATACATTTCATACGTAAAAAAAAAAAAAAA